ACAAAAACTTACATTTAACAAACAAAAAAATGCTCCAAACGTTTTTTTTAATTAACTTAATAAAAAAACAAAACTAAATATAATCACTTCGACATTACATACAAAACTGAACTATTTTAATGGCTGAAACAGTAGTATGAGCTGTGTTGGGAGAAGGGGGGGAAAAAAAGACGGGCTCGGGTCGGACTCTGGCCAATTCTGATGAGCTGTCTGACAAGGGCCGGGCTAGGGCCTATATTTGAGGCCCGTGCAGGGCTCTAGTGTGTACCTACTTAACCATATTTTTAGGACAAATTTGTACCCAAAAGTTAGCAAAACCTGACAAAATCGCCAAAAACCTCCATTTGAGGACGTCCTCGTTTGTAAAACTGGTATAAAAATAAAGTAAACAAAGTTTTTTTTGAAATTGTAAAAATGCTGAAAGTTTTCTGTGAGGGGTAGGGGTGGGTTTAGGTTAAAAAGTGTATAACTATCTGTATATAAAAACAATAGAGGTCTATGTAATGTCCCCATTTAGATAGCTAAAGGCGGGCCTACATGGTGTGATTCTGATGGTCGGAACGTCTTGAACCCTCGCACATGTCATGATTAAGTTTATCTGAAAATCGTATGGAGGCAGTCACACACAACACGAATTTACTACGATTTTACAAACTCTGACGTAAGCATTACATTTCGCACCATTCATAAAAATATGGATTCTGAGGACGAAATTAGTCAAGTAAGCGATTTCAGAATTTCTGCTCGTTTTGCCGGAAATACAACAGGCATATTCATTCATAAAGCTGAACGGCAAATTTGGCACAATTCAGAATAACAAATAAAAAATAGAGCTGTATAATTAAACTAAAATTATTATATAGACTATTTATATACAGTGGGGCAAAAAAGTATTTAGTCAGCCACCAATTGTGCAAGTTCAAATACTTTTTTGCCCCACTGTACATACGTTGTTTTTGTCATCTTCTGATTGGTCAACTTCAGATGGATTGCCAAATCATCTCGTTCAACCGACAGCATCCGATTTCTTTTTACATGTTTGAAAATTATCGGAGGTGCTCGTAACTCGTTCTCGGATCGGCCCCATAATTCTTCTCACACGGTACAAGCTGCGACCATGCGAGAATCTGCGATTTTCTCCCGAGAGAAAAAAAATTGCCTGCGAGCTCGTACAACAACAATCGCACCATGTACGCCTGCCTTAAGTAAACGCGTGTGTATGTGTGTGCACATGTTCCCAGCTGGTGCACATGCAATAGGGAAGGGAGAGAATCTCTGCTGCTAAATCCAGCTAAAGCTTGTGACCCATCTTGGACCAGCAACAAACCAGCTGGAAGATCTCATAATGGTATTTTGATTAAATGTTGCAACAACAAAAAAAAGAAGTAAAAATTAAACATGCAGTGATGAATTGTTAAAGGGTTAGTTCACCCAAAAATTCTGTTATTAATTATTCACCCTCGTGTTGTTCGAAGCTACAAAAATAAGGAAAACTAAAATAACGACTTTATTCCACATTTTCGTCTCTACTGCGTCATTTGTTGACACGTGTTCACGACAGTACCATGACGTGAGCGTGTGACGGTGCCGGCGCTGACCCAGATCCGGCGTAATGATGTCATCATTGAGAGAGCCCTCATATATCATCAAAAATGTCTTAAATTGTGTTCCGAAGATGAACGAAGGTCTTACGAGTTTGGAACAACACGAGGGTGAGTAATTAATAACAGAATTTTCATTTTTGGGTGAACTAACCCTTTAACTATAAGATCTATAACATGCATTTAGAACATATTTCATTTCAGGCTGGTTTACCAGCTGCCATTTTGAGCTGGATTTCCCAGCAGGTATGGAGACTGTTTTTTCATTCTGTCTCTCTCACTCTCAGGCTGTCTCTCACTTTCATGCTCTCTGAGCACCACTCCTCTCGTCTGTATCAAGAACACTTTGAGTCTGAGTGTCACACTGTCCCTCGTAGACTTAGGTTTCCTCATGCTTGTTTGGTCTGTGTTCTCTTAGAATTCCCTGAATCCTCTCTTCTCCTTCAGAGAGTAGATTAGTCCTCTGTCTTTTGGTAGTGGAGATAGATACTGGCAATTTCTCATCTAAATCCTGTAAACTCCCCCTCACTGTGACCTTTGAGCTCATGGAGTGTGTCAGGGTTCACAGTGACATTTAAAATGAAGCATTAGATGTTAGCTATGAAATTTGCTATCAGGGTTTGATTCCAGCAAAGATATCACTTTTTTTTCATCTCTGTCTCTCCATCTCGCAGAGTGATCAGTCAGGTTATATTAAAGCCAGGTAAACACTGGCCTGTTGTGTTTTATTTTCATCCTAAACAGTTTTCTAAGTAATAGCAGTGCTTTTGGCAGCTACACAGCTTTTGGATTTTAAGTTTGTGTTGACTTTACAGTTGTTGCTGCAGGCCTGTTTTAAAACTCAGAGCAGCTGTCAGCCTGCAGGGGTGTGACCTTTTGACTTTAAGGTCATAAGTCAAGCAGCCTAACCACTTCTGTTTTATAGTCATCAATAAACAAATAAACCCACTTTATCTGACCAAAGATTGCTGTAATTTTCATACTACAGAGAGAATGGGTTTGAGTGGGGCTTTTAAATGTTACCCTCAAGCTACAGCTTTGGGTAGAAACAGAGAGAAGTTGGAGATTTGGAGAAAGTCAAAAATTAAAGAGTACCAAAATAAATTACAGTAAGGATTTTTCTTCTGTCCTAGTCGGGAAATGTTTTTTTCTATTTTTTATTTAAATTTTTCCAGCATTTCCACCACCATAATTATACATTTTATTTTGAGAAATTATTTATATAAACACACACACATGATTCATTATGTGTCTTTGTTGTTTGTTTAGATGTTGAGCATATGTGTGTAAGAAGAAAAGAAAAGCCAAGTATAAATCTTAAAAATAAAGTATAAATTACATTTCTAAATGTGTCTAAAACAATATTCATATGACTCATTAAATGTCAAGTTTTCTTTGCGATAAACTATTTATGCAATATGACCGTAAACTATAGTTAATACGTTTGCGAGGCAAAAATACACATATACAAGATCACTGAATGTAAGATTTAGCAATGCTGCTTCCACTTGCAATCCTTATTTTTATATATTGTTCCTCCTGTGTCCTCAAAGGGTGGTTACAGCCCCCTTACGATTTGAGTGGGACATTCACTTTCAGAATCAGTTGGCATGGACTCTTGGAGTGTAATTCATACGTGTGTGTATGTGGGGTAGATGTAGGCACAGTGGGCAGAGGTGGGAGTTAACCCTCTGAATGAACCATCCATCCATATGTGACAGCTGTGACAACTAGTGCACCCTAGTGCTGACTCAGTGGAGCCCACAAAGTGGGAGCAGAGTCTTGATCTAAAGGCTGCTGTCAGTTCTCACACACGCATACCACTCACTTTTGCCATTGCACATCTGACAGTTCTGTGTATTTCAGTTTTGTGTATGTGTGTGTTCTGGATTCTGCTTTGCTCGTGGGAACGCTGCTATACTTAGCTGCCGTGTGAGAACGGGAGACTGAGCTCTGTCCCTCCCTGATTGTAAGGCCAGAGCCAACCAATCGGAACTACTAGCCTGCCTCTGGAATGAAAGTGCTCAACAAAAAAAAACATGCACGTATCTCTTGAAATCTGTTGTAATGATAGTATGTTAGTGTACATGAGCACATGAGCACAATGGGTGAGTGTGGGTGTGAGAGATCACAGGGCGTCACACCCTGGTCACACTGGTCATATCCCTTCTCCCTGTCTGGTGTATCCTATTATGTGGTCATCGCCACACCCACAGTGAACAGCAAAGACAGTGCTGTAGCTGGAATGTGATAAGGAGAAGTGATAGATAGATTGCTAATAATAGAAGAAGAAAAGCCATATTTTTCTTCACTGTTTCCCAAAGAAGCCATTCGCACATCTGCTGTTGTCGATATTTGCCTGTTTTTGGTAGACGTTGTGGTCAGAGCAGCTTACGTCCTGTGTCCAAGAAGCCTGCTTCCCGTGACACACTCCCGTGGTTTGACCAGCCTGTTTTGTCTCGCTGCCACTAATGTAACCTTGCTAAAAATAACGTGCTGATCACACACACATATGCAGCATCTGTTCACCATTAAATGAACATACCATGCTGTCCTCACACAGTCAAGAAACATCCTGACATTGCAGATGCCATTACAAAAAAAAAAAACACTTCAATCGGGACTGTTGAATAAGTCAGAAAAAAAGTAGATACTCTTCCAAGTGTAATTTTGAAACTCTTATCCAGTTTCCTGTCCTTTTTTAAAAATGATTTCAGCACTTCTTGGTCCATATGTTATGTCTGTCCTAGTTTTACTCCTCTTTGATTTACAGTGCTCATCCGGCTTGTCCACCGCTCTCAGATCATTCTCTGTGAAATTATTCTTTTTAACTTTTTCTCAACTTCAAAACGATCATGTCCTGAGTAAACCCTGCAATAACTGCCATATTGTTTTTCAGTTAATCTGAACATCAGATTACATTTTTTGTTAGCAATTGGTTGTTTTTGCTTTTAAATGTATGCCAAAATAATAATAATAATAATAAAGGAATATTATTATCATCTTTGTTGTTGTTTAATAAATATAAATAAATATAAAAATATAAATTGTGACAAAATTGAAATCAACAAATTACAAAATCTACTACTAATAATAAACATAATCGATAATAATTATGATGATGATGATGATAATTATTATTATTATTATTGGCCCCATTATGTACTGAACAGCATGTCCTAAGGCTATATATGGTATGAAGTGTTTTTGACGTTATTTGAATGAGTGAGGAGAGTGAGTCTTGGGTACAGCATTTTTTTGTCGACTATTTTTTGTGTGATGAGGCGTGATTATCGTGTTCTGACTTATTAATAGTTAGGAGGCGGAAGCGCTGTCCCGGGTGGCCGTGAGAGTAGGACAGTCACGAGTCAGGAGTATTTTAAATCAGGCAGCAGGCGGAGACGCTGTAAGGGAATTCCGGGGCCGTGCGCGCTGACGTAAGGCAGCCCGAGGGGCGGCGCTGAGGAGAGGAGAGGAGAAAGAGAGCCTGCGAGTCCCTTCAAAAAACTCCCTGCTCACCGCAACTCGATCCCTGTCTTAACTCACAGACACAGCTCTGTGCTCGCTATAGAGAGCGGAGACTTACCCAGCAACAACATTACATATCAGCAGCACGCCCTCTGCGGAGAGACACAACAGACTTGGCTTTTAAACCGAAGGATTTAGGAAAATAAACGATTTTGCGGATTACTACTGTTGTTATTCAGCCGGGTCGGACTGGTAACTGTTATACGCCAAGGAGAAGTTGCGGATAAACTGCGCCCGCGACACTCACGGGTACTGACGGGAATTTTAGTCGCACATTGGTGTTTTAGCCCTTGTTTTTGTTCTCAGGCAGCGTTGACGCGACGCTTCAGCATTTTATTCCCGCATCGCTTATAACAAAAGCGCCGCTTGTAATACAAGCTTCTTTATATGTGATCACTCATAATTTAATCATTTCACCTTCAGAGTGTCCTACATCAGACGTCTCGAATCACCTGTAAGGAAAACTAAAAGATGTCCTCGTTTATTCTCCAACAGATCCTGTCTAACTTTTGGGAGCGCTAGTGGAGACGCAAGCTGAACGAGTTTTACTACTAAAGGTAAGTCAGTTTCCTCAGTTGTTTTCTCATTGTTATCCCCATGGTAAACTCGTGACTACTTCATAGCTGAGTGTTGGCCGTGACTGAAAGAAATTGCACTCCTTATTACAGGCTAGCGACAGTCTGAGAATGAACGCGTTGTAGTAACGGTGACCGGAAGATCCGCGCGCATTAACTCTTTACTACCCACAACTCGTGCCTTTGAAACAATGGCTGGCCTTCTGTCTTTAGAGAGATATTCTTTAGACAAATCAAATCATTGTTTAATTCTTGAGTTGGTCGTTTGACGGTGTAATTTATCGCCGCGGGGTGTTCAGGCAGACATTGTTTAGATGTAGGTCGTAAAGTCTCAGTCCCACGTGTGTGTAAGGGGGTTGGGTTCACTGTGTAAACGGACCCGGCCCATCCCCACTGCCGAGTCCTGCCTACCTGGGTCAAACAGACATTTTTCATTTAAAAATACTAAAATATAAAACACTATTTATCAAAACAAACAGACAAAAAAGTTCTTTTTCTTTGTTTTATATAAATCTTGATGAACTTGATACAGTCATGAGTGTCTAAACCAGTCCCATTATATGGTTTTCATGTCACATGACAACAAAATAGCCTGCATACTTGTTAAGCCATAGTGACCTCTTAATAATATTTGAAAGCAAAGTCGCTTATTTGCATTTTTTAAGCAATAGCACAATAGTATGCCAAACTACTAGTGTTTCTTTTATTACTATCTTCATGCATCAGAATGTTATTGACTTTCAGCTCTATGGACGAAAAAAATGTTGCAATAAATTCTTTTTAAAGAACCAAAAAAGAGCCTCACTTTATTTATGTTTGTTTGACACGGGAGAGCACTGCGTGGATGTGCCGAGCTGGGCTGTCTCATAAAGCTGAATGGATTGCCTCAGCCTGCTCGTGCTGAACTGAATGCGTCTGTCTGAAAGGAAATCATTTGCATCGTTTTCTACTACAACAAGCCTCCAGCCCTGCCTGGAGGTGGGGTGTTTTTTTCTCTCAGCGTTTACATGTGCGTTCGAACATATTCCGGTGTCTTGGTTAAGGGAATATGCAGGGGAAATTACTCTAACATGCTAGGAGGAATATTTGTGTTGACGTTGAATAAAGATTGCTGACAACATGTAAAATTACAGTGAAACAGTTAGGTGTTTGTTGTATGAGCATGTCTGGGGGAGCGAGTTGGGACACTGCATTTTATGGGCGGTCATAAACACCCGTGGAAGTAAATACAGGAGTATATGAAGAACAGAAAGATCACTTTGAAGATCGACTTCTTCTGATCAATTAGCACAACTGACATGAAAACAGAGAGGCTGCATTTGTTTCGCTTCAAAGTTGTGGGTTGTAAATTTCGAGCTGCCGAGACTCAGTCCTCCTCAGACCAGCGGGTGTTTTGAATCAGCCGCCTTACTGCAATGTCACTGCCCTTATATTGTGATGGCATAAAGCTGCGTTAAAGCTATAGGTCAGACTAAAACAAAAAAAACTTGGTGTGAATATATATATATATATATATCACTCATTCTGTGACTAATGGATTGAAAGTGTGTAGAACTGTGTATGAGACTGAATGAGGGCAATATCTTGAGGATACACGAACCATTGGTTTGAATTATAATTACGTCATGGCCTAAAAGAATCGCTAAATCATTGTTCTTTGAAATGAACCGTTTCGCAGAATTGTCAATCTTCCCATTACTAATTTCAACTTACTTTAGAACATTCAGCGTGTGTTTGTGGTGTTAATTTGATCCTAACAGGTGGAGTAAAGAGAGAACGGTGTCGGTTGCACATTTCATGTGTGAGTGTGTGAAACCAAGGAATGATGATGTATTATGTAGTTCAGGGGGCTTGCTGGAGTGCTTAGTCAGTGTATGCTTGTCACGGTAGCCATTTGACAGTGATGATGACAGAGAGCCAGGCTTACGAGAGTGTGGTTGTACTCGTATTTCAGGACTGTCCAAATGGGAAAAAATATATAAAAGTTGTAGACTGTAAACTCCTCCTTGTTCATTCCATCAAGCTCTAACGGTTGTGTGTGGGGGAGTTTTTAGGACTGTACTTTTGTGGTAAAAGGAAGTGATATTGGCAAGTTTGAGGAATTTCACAAGAGAAAGTATGTGAGTCTGTGAACGCGTGTTATTATGAAGTTTGATGAGTTGGTCTTAGGTTGTGCAATTAAAGACAACAAGAAAGAAAAGAGTTTAATACTGTCTGACACCACATTTTTTCCCCTTTGATTGGTTTATTTTTTCCTTTGTCACTTTGCCGGTCTGTTATCTCACATTTTGGCAGAAAACCAGAGTTAGGGGAAAAGGGAAAGTGAGTATAAGAAAGGGAGAGGCGGTGAAACTCTAGTGGGAGTGGTTGAGAGGAATGAAGGGAGGGAGAGTGGTGGAAAACAAAAAAGATCAGTCATGTTTCTGTGACTCAGTCAGATGTTTTTTGGATAGCGTGAGCTGCAAGGGTAAGACACCGAGATCGTTGACGTGCGTCATAACGTGGGGGGAGACGTGACTGAGGAGGGATTGTTTTCCTGTATTGCAAACATCTTGATTTGTCTCTCTCACATCAAAATTTTCCATCTATTTATGGTCAATAACTTGTATCATATTTCAATTAGAGTGTCTGAAATATTTTACATGCCAGACGTGACTCTTCATCCTGCTCAGCTGGATCCCTCTCCAACTTTGTGAGCGTCAGACACGAGTGCTGCTGTACCCCACGACAACCAGTTGCCATGGCAACCTGAGAGCCAGCTTGTTTGTGATTTATCTTTTTGTTACTAATAACTAATAAGTGTGCCTGTTTTGTTGGTGTCTAATGCACTTGCTTCTGGGAAATGAGGAGTTTGAATGTAGGTGGGGACTTTTGGGAGCTAATGAGATGCAAACAAGGCAGAGAGACAGATGTTCAAGGTTTGACTGTTACAGTAATGAAAAGCTGAGATGTTTTGATGGCTACAGAGAAAGGTCATTTCTGGTACTTTGTATTCATAATGTTAAAAGAGAATGAAAGCGCAAACTCGTGTTTCCTGACATCTCACAGTGACACGGTGACACATTTGTACAGTCTGTGCGGCTGAGTGCATTAAAAGTTTTCTCGCAGATGGCTGTGCAGACACATTCCAGACTTTCATGTCTAGCAGACACTCACACACTGAGTCACTGCCATTCACGCACAGCACCCGTCTTTCAGCTTTTTGCCATTTGCGTTGTGTCTGTTGGGTAATGTGCTAGCACGTCAATCAATCTTTCTGTTCCTTAAAAGTTTTACTCTAGTTCTCTGAAGAATTACTACACAAGTTGACTGACTGCAGTGTGGATATAACCCAGACAGAAAATACATCAGAAACCGAGACTCAGAGGACTTAAAGGTCCCATATTGTCAAAACTGAAATTTCCTGGCTTTTTTCATGATAACTGAGGTCTAGGTGCTATGTAACTACCATATAAGTTTCAAAACAGTCAGTCTACAGTAAAATGCACACAGCCTGCATAAAGTAGCTGGGATTTTTCACGAACCGTTGTGACTTCCGTAAAAAGTTGACGTCAGAACTACACAGTCACAACCCCGAGCACCGCCCACCGTCCCAGTCTCCTTTTGCCAAACCCCCAGACAACATTGCGGAAACATGTCGTAAAGGTTAACTTTAACCACGAAACCAGATCGGCCGACCTGTAACGTTACACTCTCACTCAAAGGATGGACGATCTGACAGGATTGTTACTATGAGGTGATCACATCTAACGTGTATAGTAAAGACAAACTCACCATGTCTATCTAGTCATGATGAAGATGTATATACATTTCAATTTCAGCAGGCAACTATTTTTACAGCTACATTATTGTTCCAGCCACAATTAATCACAACAATGTATATACAATTACAAATGATTATATATATATAAATGGTCAGTTTGTTGTTTTATACACATGCACACAGACATTATTTTATACATGACATAGTCGTGAGATGCAAGAAACATAGACATATGGCAAGAAATCTGTAGACGCGCCCATAACAACAAAAGACAATATTTTATTGAACCTTTTCTGGTAAGAAGTGTGTGCTGCAAACGCGAGCATTTTTGACGATCGTTTCTGTCCAGTCTGCTCGTTTTATCACGTTTAACCACAGCTGTCGTTGTTTTTTTGTCAGGCAGTGGCATCAGATATGCAATCAAATTTCTAATTTGAGGCTGTATTATGTCGATTCTGGCACCCAACATCACAAGAAGATGTAGCTGAATCTGCGCTGGTTTGAATGGGCTGCCTCCAGTTTCTTCTTTGTTTTGCTGCCTGCAGCTAGCGCTGTGACGTCGCTGACCCTAGTTACCTGTGGTTGGCCTGGCCGTGCGTCACTCAGAAAACAACAGGCCAATCAGAAGAGAGGCTCATGAATATTAATTAGACAGGCCAAAATCGACCTGTTCTCAGCAGAGCTCCTGAGAAAGGAGCTGTAAAAATATATTGAGATGGTTTTTGGTACTTATACCGCAAATATATATTCTTAAGGACATTAAAACCTAAAATAAAACTCCAGAACGGTGTAAAATAGGGGACCTTTAACATGATGAGAAGCTAGACACCTGACCAGGCCTAGCTTTCATTTTTTGGGCCATTCATAAATATGTACACACAGAGAATATGTTCCACAGGATGTTACATCATTCCCCTCAGTCCCTTTTAAGACCCCCCTCTCTCTTTTGAGAGGCCCACTTCCTGTTGCTCTGACGACAACTTCCTGTCTTCTTATATCTGTTCTGCTTTCTTTAAACTCACATGCTGGTATATTCACATTCACAGACAAACACAACAGCAGAACTTTCTCTGGCTATCCAGACAGAGATTTCAAAATATCTTAGGTCTGACAAATGGATAGAACCAAGTCCCCACCCTACATTTATTTTTCCAATAATCTGTGATGTACGTCACAAACCTGAAGAAAAGATCTGTCGTCACTTTCATTTCATCAGGTC